TATATATATATATATATATATATATATATATATATATATATATATATATATATATATATGCGTATATTTCGGCAGCTTGTTATCATTAAGACATATTCCACAATTGTTAAGGTATCTGAAATTTAAATTTCTTACAAATGTTTAAACTATTCAACGAAACATAACTTAGTATACATACATGCATACATCCATATATATATATATATATATATATATATATATATATATATATATATATATATATATATATATATGTGTGTGTGTGTGTGTGTGTGTGTGCGCGCGCGCGTGCGTGTGTTCATTCGTACGCGCGCTGGTTCTCACCACATAAAAATTTGGTTGCTAGTATTTTGGGAACATTCTACCTCTGCTTATCTTGCCTATTGGAATCTGAGAGCCTCCAGCTGAGATAATGTGTTTTTGATGATTTCTAAATCAGTAAATTTATAAGTGGATTCTTTCAATAAATAATCGAATGGCTCAACAGTTCGTCATTGATTAATAAGTGAATTTCGTAGGCCATTAATATTTTAGAGGGTTCGATCCTCATTGGTGTCTACCACTGTGTCGTGTGTCGAGCGATCCTTCGTAAATATCAGTAAAGAAAAAATATTAAATTTTAAGTAAATTAAATTATATCTTTGGAATTCCTGAGTAGTATATCGTATTTTTGATGAAATATTTCTTAGGATATCGCTTTCGAGAGAAAATTAGAAGAATTTAATGAACTAGTTGGCGAAAATTATGAAAATATATTATCTCAAGGAACATTTTTCTGTAGGCGAGATATAATTAAGAAATATATACATACACGTACATATGGACTTGGATGTGGTGTAAGGTGAGCCAGTTTGTCTCGCTAAATCACGGAATAGTGAGTTTGATCCTCACTGGGTGGCCAAAATTTTCGACTTTGTAGAAAATCACCATACATGTATGTGTTTAAGTATGTATGCAACTTTGTGTATGCGCGGGTGTACTTTTGTATGCGCATAAATACACATCACTTTTGTTGCTATTTCCCAGTGTAGTGAGTTCGATCCTTGCTGCATACTCAACATGTAAACTTCAATATGTGATTACCACAGAAAAAAAACAAACTTTAAGCCAATCCCTCATGATAGAGGGATACTAAGGAGGTTGAAGAAGGTGATAAAAAGTGCATTTTATGAATATATATATATATATATATATATATATATATATATATATATATATATATATATATATATATATAATTTATTCGAAAATTATAACATAAACATGTTATAAAATCACTACAAAAATAGCCATTTTCTTTCAACACTTCTGGTGTCTTATCAAGTGATGGTGTTGAATGTAGAATAAAGTGTTTTAAAAGTTTCAAATCAATCAAACATTCCTCGCAAGGGGAAACGCTGTTACATAAGCTGCAATGACCAATCAAAATACAAGTGTATGAGTATTCAAAAAACTTGACAACGGACTTTAAGGTTATAATAATTATTTAATGCTGTAATGTTGGGGTTAGACTAAAGTAGAATTCATTCTAACTAATAAATATTAAATTATACTTTAAAATTTAAAATTAAATTTAATCTATATTAAGTTTAAAATTATAAAGTTATTTAAAGAAGAAACCGAGGAATATATATATATATATATATATATATATATATATATATATATATATATATATATATATATATATTGATTGATATCGATTGACAAAAGACGTTAAGATTGTACAGGTCAAGTAAATATTTTCTCGTGATTTTACTGAACAAAGAAAAATTATCTAATTATTTCCATTTACGCAAACTTCTTACATCGATAAATAAATGTCTTGACACAAAAATATTTTCCTTTTATATAAATAAACCGTTTAGAAAACGCCAGATACACAGTTCTTTACAAGCAAGTTAACATTTGGCAATCGAAACTACTGATGACAATTTTATTCATTTAACATATAAATAAAATAAAATAATGTAAAATATCACATTTTTTCAAAATTATTCGTATTATTTGTAATATTATATTGCAAGTCTTATTGTATGTAAAAAGAAAAGTATATTTACATTTAAATGATTATGTAAATTTTAAAACGTTAATCGAATTTCAAAATGTTTTGAAAATTTTGTTTCATTATTCCTGTAGTTAATCAAATTAATGTGTCATTTTATAACAACGCTATTTAATAATCGAGATATTGAAATATTCAACAGTAATAATTATTCGCTGTAATTTTAATCTATTATGTTTTGTCAAAACGGAAGTATGAATTTAAAATATATGGAGGCCGAGTCATCCCATAATTACATTGTTTCGTCTCGGACATTATCAGCTTTTCAGAGTGATTACTTAAATGTTTCTTTAGTGGTTTCAAGTCTTTGAGAGAATTATCAGATTGTAAAAGTATTTTCAAATTCATTCCCGTTTATGCGTTCAGTACTTAATTAGCTACAACCCAAACCAATTAAAACCTATACGAATACACGATACCACCACAGACATTAACATGTGTAAATGTATTGAAGATCTGTTTGTATATATATGGTTCTGAGTCAAATATTTTAGGGAAGTTATAATTAGGGAATCTGTTTTTTGACATCTATAATTTTAACCGGAGAAGAAAAGTTTTCCAATGTAAAACGTAAAGAAAAGAAAACTTGTATAATGTGTCTTGTCATAAAGATTAATGGAAGGAGGAAGTAGACGATTTACACTTCCACTATCAGGTGGATAAAATCTTATTAAAATTAGTTTAATTTCAATTAATTTTTTCAATATTTCTCTCTTGAGAAATTAACTCTATACAAAGGAAAATCAGGATTTAGAAAATATTATACAGGGATACAGACAGGATTATATATATATTTATTAAATATAATTGTGTTTCTGGATATTCTGATCATTAGAGCCCAAAATGTTCATTACACTTTATTTCCAAATCACATACCTTACTTTATAAGCGATTTTAATTCCTTAAAAAAAGTTAATAATTTTCCTTATAGATTTCTTTATGGGAAATCATCAGTTACGAAAGTGATTTATATATTTAATATCTTATCTAGCTGAGAGTTGATTTTTCACATAGGGCTATAAAGTTTTGAAACATCCAGTAGTCTTAAATGACAATGTATTTAATGAGCCACGTAGAGGTTTAAAAAGGAAGCCAACATAGTAGGAAGCTTCTTGGATATATGTGGGGTTTGTATACCTTATAGACATGATTATAAGAAATCTATGTCTGGCAACTGATAACAATTTTCCGATTTTATAAGAAATTGTTGTTCAAGCATAGGAATATGCAAATTTGATTACTGATTTTTAGATAAGCAAACTATCATTATCTGAACGATTGCCATAATTATCAAATATATACTTACTCCCTAATTCGTGTAGATTATTTTGCCTGGTGTCTTATCAAAGTGATTGAGTAGGGATGTACATAGAAACCATATATATATATATATATATATATATATATATATATATATATATATATATATATATAAAATAGGTATAGGTTCATGTATGTTTTTTGAGTCTGTGTGTATGTGTGTGAATGTGCAAAACTGAGTATCTCACAGAAATTAGATTCAGTGACAAAAATACTGTATACAAAATGTTTCAAATACAATATTAAGGAAAGTTTTCAATTTCATTTGCAAGTAAATAACACACACACACACACGGGCACACACACGCACACACACATATATATATATATATATATATATATATATATATATATATATATATATATATATATATATATATAGAGAGAGAGAGAGAGAGAGATAGAGATAGAGATAGATATAGATAGATAGATAGATAGATAGATAGATAGATAGTTATATATATATACCATCCGAATTACCCGAACCTTGCAGCGTGTCACACATTTCTTTTATAAGAAAATAAAGATTGACTTTAAATCATTGCTATAATTTGTTGAGAAATATGATGCATTTCTATATTACTCAATGATATTGCCGATGTGACCTTCATTTTCTGGCTTTCCCCTTCTATATTTTTGACAGGAGCCATTTCCTTGTTCAAATTTAAATTTAATTTTAACCAAAGGGAAAAAATCGGTGTGTGTGTGTGTGTGTGTGTGTGTGCAAATACAACTTGATCTAACCCCTTTCATATGTGTTTGATGCAATAATTGATTGTATAAATTGATGAGAAGTTTTCAACACTGGTATGACAGATGGATTGTCGCAATAAATGTGCATTGTGAGGCACTACCCACTGATTGGTGATATCTTGTTCAGCTTTACGTCCATGTCGTCTAATTTTGATTCTGCCGGCGTGACGGCTTTCTCTTTCTATATTTTAGATATGAGTCTTTCTCCTGTTGAAATTTAATTTAAATCAAGAGGAAAAAATGTTCATTAGGGGGTTGTGCATCTCGTGGACCATCTTTGATCAAAATTAAATATTCTTCATCTCTTTCATAATATGTTGTCAATGTTTACGTTAAGGTACGTTTCATGAGCAGATATGGCCGTTCGGTAAGGATCATCGAAGAGTTGTTGTTTATAAGCAGTAATTTGGGTTTTGTAAACCAGACGCTTCTCTGTAGCTGAGTGGTATAGCACGTCAGATCACTTGACGGTTCCATATAGGACACAGGTCCGATTGTTTTCGGAAAACGTATATTTACTAAGAAATTTCTCTAATATTCAGGGCGGAAAATGTAATTAATACACTTCATTTAAAAACAGAGCATTTACTTAAATAAATTCTATCTATTAAAAAATAACGTATGGACAAACAAAAATATATTAAATAATTGTCAGTTCCATTTTATATATATATATATATATATATATATATATATATATATATATATATATATATATATATATATATGTGCTGAGATTCTATGTTTCTCGTGGCATGAAGAACTTTCTCGCCTGGTGTGTGAATTTGTTACAGTATTTAGATTTTTTTTCTATTTCTTTTCTAAAATTATTGTGAAATTTCTGCATTTCCATCTCGGCCAGATGGTCGTTTCAGCCCTTGCTGAGTTTGGTGATGGTCGGCCACTGCTCACTGGGAACTTGTAAAGAAATATTACGGCACTGACATCTAATATAGCACTGAGTTCTTTTGATTTATCTCCGATTTTTATATGTAGCATACTCCTTTATGTGTTACAACTTCGCAGAGCTGGTTATGTTCCTAGGATGAGTGACGACAAAATACCTAAGGTTGCCATGTATAGATAGTTTGACAGTGGACAAAGTACTGTTCGACGGCCGTGGTTCAGGTATAAAGACATGATAAAGAGTAACCCCACCACCACCTGTCAATGTGCCCATGCTAATTTCGAGTGAGTTACCCTGGATAGAAATAACTGGCGATATTTGTGTCAGAGTGTTTTCAGTCATATTCACCGGTCAAGAGACGAGGGACTACGGCAAAAAGCGTCAACAAATATTCGTGTACGTCCCAAGATCTTCCTTTTTGCATAATATGTGCACTTGTACGCAGGTCACTAGAGGGAATGAAGTGTCACATACGACACAAGCATAAAAAAACTGAATAAGGTTGACGGATCTTCATGTTTTAAAATAGACGGGATAGTCCATATATATATATATATATATATATATATATATATATATATATATATATACATGCAGGATAGATGAATGGTAACTGTTAAAGAAAATTATTGAGAAACAAGGGATTAATAAACTCACTAGCTATATGAGGTTTTGCATATTTGCACTATAGTAGACACCCTCGTTACAGAAACACATAGAAAGGCTACACGTGATTATATACTCTATACGCGTCATGTCAATATGTTGCTATATAAATGTGTTAATGTCAAGGGGAATCTTTTCAGGATAGACATATGGCATTTTCTCAGTATCGATCGATGACCTACGACCTTTCTAATCCCGTTGATTCTAAAAGGATCTGCCATCAATGTATTTACTAATGACACCAGATTGATCACTGACCCCATATCGACAACAAAATCAATGAAGATAGACGAAATTAGATTCTTCCAGTAATTTCGTGCGAGACCCAGAAGGATAGACCGTCTAGGCTTTTCAATTAATTTGATACAAAAGCAATTCCAATGTCTTCCAGAAGTTGCGAAGAAGTTGATAAAAAATGGCGAGAATAATAAATTAAAATGAAGACTTTAAAGAGTTGACGGAGGTTGATTAACGAAATATTGTGGAAATAAACGTGGCAATAAATAGGACTAACATAAAATGTTTATCTATCTATCTATCTATCTATCTATCTATCTATCTATCTATCTATCTATCTATCTCAATGCCCATATTTGTCTATATTAATCTGTATAGCTCTTTCAGTATGTCCATATCTATCTATCTATCTATCTATCTATCTATCTATCTATCTATCTATCTATCTCAATCTGTTAATATTTATCTATCAATATCAGTGTGTTCATATCTATCTATCTATCTATCTATCTATCTATCTATCTCAATCTGTTAATATTTATCTATCAATATCAGTGTGTTCATATCTATCTATCTATCTATCTATCTATCTATCTATCTATCTATCTATCTATCTATCCATCTATCTATCTATCTATCTCAATGTCCATATTTGTCTATATTAATCTGTATCGCTCTTTCATTATGTCCATATCTATCTATCTATCTATCTATCTATCTATCTATCTATCTATCTATCTATCTATCTATCTATCTATCTCAATCTGTTAATATTTATCTATATTAATCTGTATCGCTCTTTCAGTATGTCCATATCTATCTATCTATCTATCTATCTATCTATCTATCTATCTATCTATCTATCTATCTATCTATCTCAATCTGTTAATATTTATCTATCAATATCAGTGCGTTCATATCTATCTATCTATCTATCTATCTATCTATCTATCTATCTATCTATCTATCAAAATCTGTTCACATCCACCTATTTATCTATCTCTATCTACCTTTTCATACCTATCTATCTATCTAAATCTCGTAAAATCCATCTGTCGATCAAAATCTATTAATAGGTATCTAAATCTGTTCATAAAGATCTATCTAAATCTGTTGCTATCTATCTATCTATCTATCTATTTCAATCTATTTATATCTATCCATCTATCTATTTATCTATCTAAATCTGCACATCGAAAATATTCCTTTGTAATTAGCGATAATAATAATAATAATAATAATAATAATAATAATAAAGAGGGCGATTTAAGTAGAAAAAAGAAAACTAAAGGAAAGTGTTTGACAATGTTAAACAATATTTTGACAACAAGCTTCTATTTCTTTGTTTTTTAAGAAATAAAAAAAAAGAAAACTCAGAAAATGTTTAACAAATGTAAGCGTTCACACACAAAACAACATTGGAGTTTCAGATCGATGTACTCCCGAAAAAACTCATAGAAGGAGAAAACCCGGTTCGTTGTACAACAACACGAGTCAAGTTAATTCTATTAGAAATTAAAAGAGAACGATCACTTATAATTTTTTTTTTAAATTTATATATTTTTATACTTAACGTTTTGCTTTTAAATGTAACTTGAACATGACAGACATATTGTTGAGATATTGTTTAAAATTGACAAACACTGTTTTTTCTTTTCATTTTCTTAAATCGCACTTTCTCTTAAATGTTGTAAATATTGGAAGAATTACTTACGTCAATCCTTTTGTTTGATAATAATAATAATAATAATAATAGTAATAATAATAATAATAATAATAATAATAACTATTATTATTATTAAAAATTTTGAGATCAATACGACCAATCTTATGCGAACTTCAGTCGAGTGAGACATCATGAAACTCAGACTTGACATCCGATGATATTGTGAATTTTATTAAATCTGATTCAATAATAAAACATTAGCATAAACATAGTTTTGTATACCTTATAAACATTGAAACACAACTATTGAAATAAATATTTGTGTGAGAATCTATAAACATTCCTATGCAGGAAGATATGAAGTATTTATAAAATTTAGAAGAAACATTATTATTTATTCTCTTGTGAATTTATCTGACACAAATGATAAATATTATATGTCTACAACGAAGAGATTAAAATAAAACTGACTTTGTAACCTGGTAGGCTATTTCTACTATAACAAGTGCAATACTAAGCATTTCCATATATCTTTGGTTGTGATTTTTATTTACTATATCTTTCTCCAATACATGGCACAAGATCTACTCGAGGTAGATTCATGCTTTTTTTAAATCATTTCACCCAAGCAAGTGAACCAAGAGAACTACCACTGATACGCAGGGAGAGAAAAGAGGGAGTATAAGGAGGATTGAGGAAAGGACAACAGAAGAACGGGATTCAAGAAAACAGAAGATAGCGATTGACGTTGCATTTAATTTTTTGACGATTGTAGTTATCAGGGAAGCAAGTAAACGGAAGGGATTCCCACGGGCGAGTAGTGCGAGAAAAGAAACTAGAGCTGGTGCCATGAAAATATTTGTAGAAAAGAGAGATAGAAGCCACGATATGTCTGTGAGAAAGTGTTTGACGTCAAGATGCCAAGCCAGGATTGAAAACATTACAAAGCATTTTTCGGATTTTGTCAAGATCCAAATGAATAGTAGGAACCCTAGACCAGATATGGCAGCAGTCTTCAATGCACAGACGAATGGTAGATTTGTAAATGTGTAATATAGACTCTGACAAGAAAGAAGCTCTTGGTTCGATGTAGACGCTCCACTGCAACTCAATTGAGAATGTGAGGCCAAGAAGGCGCAGTGTGTTGCGTCAGACAGACTCCAGGAGAGAAACGGCGAAAAAGGTAATGAGAAACGAGCAACAAGGAACATGCGTGAAAGAGGAGGTGGAAAGACGAGAAAATTATGAGGCTAAGAAGGATATATTAAGATAAACTAAGACCCTAGACACTTTTTCATATATAATGAATGTCACAGTTTTGATAAAATAACTTGCTCTGTTCTGTCACCCTTGAACTCATTGGTTGTTGATTCAGCTGTAAGTAACAAGCGGTGTGTAAGGGTAATGCAATGAATACAGCCGTTGAAAGTGAAATTGCTCAGTTCAAGTAACTATCCATTTTGCGTTATCCATTTTCGAACTAAAGCTTTTGAGAAAGGCATGAATCCAGCTTTAGGCTTAATAGCAGATTAGACCAGGCTACCCGGTTTTGGGTGGCAATCAATTTAAGACAGGGAAGACTTTGAATTCTGTACTGTGAAAAAGAAAAGGGGAAATATTTCATTATCTTTTTAAAAGAGTGCTTGGCAATTTACGGATAATAAAGAAATACACGGAGAACTATGTCAACCTATATCGTAAAGGGGATGCCATTTAATGAATGGTCATAGCATTTCATGAAGGGTCATGGCAATTCATGAAGGGTCATGGTATTTCATCAAGTGTCATGGTATTTCATAAAGTGTCATGATATCTCAAAGTTACGCGTGCTCTCGTTTAGATTCTTGTCTAACATTAAGCCAATCTTATTAAACATAAACATAAACTTTTTAAAACATAAGTAAATCATGCATTTGGAATTAATACGAAGTTAGTAGAATTTTTAACCGAGAACAACGTTTGTAGTAATCACGATATCATATGTGACTATGTTGCAGGAATTGGTGTTTAGTGACCACGGCCGTTGTTCCAAAGTGGGTAGAATTGGTTGTTTCGTTACGCTAGTGTTTACAGCTGCCTTCAAGCCAGTACACCTATTCGCACTATCTATGCTTCTTACTGAACATGAAAAAATTCTTTTTTTATTTTAGCAGGGTATGATTTGAGTGTACTAAATAGTACCGCGCATATAGTCTTCATTGACAACTTTTATTGTCTCCAGTAAGGAGATTTTGCCGACTATTCGTCATTGGTCAGAGGGATTTCTAATATTTGCAGACTAACGTGTTCCGGTGTAGGCGATAATTCTCACTGAAAGACTTTGAAGAGAGGAATTTCTTTTCCACCAGGGAATCTTGCCTTCTCGATAATTGCTCATTCACGGCCAATAAAACATTGCTGCATCCTTATTCATTTCCTGTTTTGTGGTATTAGAGACACTCAAGGGATCTTATTAAATATATCGTCTTTAAGAAATACGATGTATTAGAAACAACGTGTTTGGCTGTCTTTTTAGTTGGAATATTTTTTCTTCCTATTTCTTAGCTTTAATCTGTTCTCCTCTACTTTACACACATAGTGTTTCACCGGACATCCATTATGCATCGAGAAAGTTTTCATCGCAACGGAACATCATGATGTCTGAAGAAAGATAAACTAGCCTATATTTTCACATTGCCACCTGAAAAACTATAATTTGCATTCTGTGTATTTGTCAAATAAAAGTTTCTATATATCCTGCCGCTTGCACAAATATGAGTTATAGATGTTAAAATTCTCAAACTTTGTTGGAAAATTGTTTATTCTAAATGAATAACGAAATAAATATCATCCAAATTATAATTGTTATTCGTCTGGATGATGATTATGAAGAGTCTCTTAAGATTCTTCATAATCATCATTAGATAGACAATTTGGAAGGCCGAATAATACGCCATCTGGATTATAATGATAATAACTATATATACTAATCTGAAAAAAAAAACATATTTTATTAATATATTTAAATATAAATAAGCAATATGTAGAATCAGAAGAATTACTCAGAAAATCCTCAATTATTTTCTGATTGATTTTATACTACAATTTATTATTATAGGATTATAATTATTTTATTCATTGCTTTTGTATTTTACTTGTGAATCTATGACATATACAATTATATTAATAATTATATAATTTCTTTTCATTTAAATGATCATTTATGATTATATTTTGATAATTAGGTATTCATTTATGATTTTATGTTACCATACATTATTCACTAATTTGTGTTCTTATGATTACTTTTATGTAATATATTCAAATCAACAGTGTCAATCCCTATGGCTGAATGCGGAAACTTTTTAAATTCTTTTCAGCTTCCTCAAAGGATTAACCAATCAGCTTGATTTAATACTTATTAATGCTAGTCATGTGCTTCTCTTGTAGGAAACTCTATTTTGGGATAAATTTATATTGTCACTTGAATATGCGGACAATGAAATAATAGTTAAACAATCCATGACGTGGTATTTAATGATAAAGATAAAATAAATGTAAGAGGGAATTGTTACATGTCATCTGCAAATGAAACATCCAGATAATTAATGCTGGTCGCATAATACATTTCGAAATATTTCAACAAATTTCAAATACGCTTGGAATTCAGTTACAAAAAAAAGGTGAGACAAGAGCCACATATTATGAGGATATGTAGGATAGATAACGGTTTACCTTCGAAATGAAGAGGTTAAGATTGTACTGACCAGACAAGTATCGGGTGGTGTTCCACATTGCAAAATTTAAGGTGACGAAACTATATTGGTTTCTTTAATTTCAAGGACAACTAAAATGCGGCTCTGTGTTTTAAGGTATGTGAACCATCACAAAATATGTCGTCAAATTAAATGTGTCATTGCTTGCGAGTAAAATTACCTGTATAAGTTTGGAAAGAAAAACCTGTCGCAGTTTTGCCATGACCAATTTCATCGTACGTTTTACTTACTTGAAGCAAAGTAACCATTCGTTTTTACATTCTAAATTTGTTTTCTTTACATGTCACTCAATAACAAACTGAATAAATTTCATATTGACTTTACCCTTTTAAAATGATTTTAGCCAAGACTTTATCAGATATCTAACAATATATATTGTATGAACATAAAAAGAGATATTATCTTTCTTGCCATATTTATCACAATGTTTCGGCCGTTGTACGCTCCGGTCTTCTTCTGGTGTTTGGAATGCCTTTATCCACTGTGCCATGTGTCCTTGAGGACAAACTAACGCCTTTATCCACTGTGCAATATGTACTTGAGGACACATGGCACAGTGGATAAAGGCGTTAGTTAGATCCAGTGACAGGACCCAAAGACTGTGAGTCCAATAACCTGGTTAAGTCTGTCGAGAACTTCGAAGAGGGGAATTAACAGGAGATAACTTATAACTGACATCCATTAGACATGGCATGTGGAACTAGAACTGTCTATCACAGCGAGCAAAATAAAGAGTTCAGTTCGACAAGCACCTGAAGAAGGC